TTAATGTTAATATAGTTTTTGCGTATTTCGCTATATCTCGAGGACTTTTTTAACGAATTGAAATATTTTTGCACACAATTATAAAATTCGTTTATCCAAAGATAATTCCATGAAAAAAATACATTTTAGTAAATATTTATTATTTTACTTAATAATGGTAAAAAAAAAATTTTTTATTGCAAAGTGCGCATTTTTTATATAATTTTTAAGAATGCAATTTCACATGGTAAAATGCCAAATTGAAATTATTTGAATAGTTCCTAAGAAGTCAAATTTTTGAAAACACGCCTTTCTTTAAATTCGACTTCTCAGAAAGAATTAAGTACCGTTATACTATATAAAGTACCGTTACAGAAACTATTAAAAAGAGCTATTAAGTGTCGTTATACTACATGAAGTGCCGTTTATTATATCATGTATGCAACGGCATTTATTTCTTAGCACATCGATATACATTTATTTCTTAAAATCGAAACATGCATTACTATTGTTATGTATGTAACATTTTGCTTAAAACACCAGTTTTGTTTGTTGGATAAAAAAACTTCATCACAGTGACCCTTCCAGTATAACGACCAATACGTTAAGTCCTGTTTGCAATATCATAGGTACAATGTTTATTTTAAGTGCATTATAATGTTTGCAGGGACTCGTTTATTGCAATGTAACAAACAAAAATATGCATTTAATTCTGCAAAATTTTAAATAATTATTTCTTTTGGTGTTAACCATAGATTGAATATGAAGTATTTTGAATTCTTTTTGAATGAGGGGGAAAAAATTACAATATCCTAATTCAGGGGCCCTCAAATAAATTTACGTGATTCCGAACTAATTTGAAATTTTTTAATAGATCCAGAAAAAACTTATATTCCTTACTAGTTTTGTACAGAAAAGTGTACTTCTATCTTTAGACTGTTATCTACATTTTATTTTATTTCATAACTATCGATGAACAGTCTGCCCAATTTTTGGGCTTACGACTACTAATGTTCAACTCCGTAACCTTGTAATTTTGAACCCAATCCAGAAGACAACGGAAATCCCGGATCATTAATTGGGAGAAATTTTCCTTTGTAGAGGACTTTTTTGGAGGGAATTAACTCACATTTGCGTTACATGGAGAAGAAAACCACAAAAATTTCCCATGGTTAGCCTGAAGGCAGGAGGACTCTAACCCATGATCCATCTACCACCGAGGATATTTTCAGCCAGCACTGTGGTCGGTACAAACCGGATGCAGAATTCGTATTGACCATCCATCGCTATGATTCGAATTAGGTTTACCTAGTTGGAAGGCGAGAGCTCAATCCTCTGAGCCATCACGGCTATTGTTATCTACATTATAACCATTGGTGAACAGCCGACCCACTTTTCGGGTATACGACTTCTAATGTTCAACTCCGTAACCTTGTAATTTTGAACCTAATCCTGAAGATCAAGTATATCTGGATCAAGTATTGGGAGAAATTTGCCTTCGTGGAGGACTTTTTGAGAGAACTAACTCGCATTTGCGATACATGGAGAGGAAAACTACGAGAAACTCCCACTGTTAGCCTGACGGCAAAGGGACTCTAAACCATGATCCGTCTACCACTGGGTATATTTCACGTCATATTGTTATCTATAGAATATATTTTGTACTAATTCATTTGAGTAATTTATACTTTCGAAAAAGGTTTGGTGGTTCTATTTCTGACCTAGACTGTGGTCCGCCTGCTGCTCTAAAGCAGCAGCTGCCTTTTAAAGGTGTTCCGAGTAACTCTTTGGTTCCGTGGAAGGCTTACAAGAGTTCCAGGAGTTATAACATCTTTCTGAAAAATCAATTATGATTATTAAAATCTGTTATGAAATGTTTATTTTCAAACAAAACAATCTATTTTTTATTTAAAATTTAGGTCTTTGATATGAAATTATTTAAGCAAAACATCAATAAAAGAAAAGGAGTTTTTTTTTATTTTTAAAAAATGTTTTTTCATATAACAATTCATTGAATAAATTATATAAACGATTAGAATTTATGAAAAATTCGCATTAATACTGTCAATCAAACTTTTGAATTAAGGACAATAATAACATTCAGCAATTTAAAAAAAATTTGTTTCTTTGATATGCATTTTCAACATAACAGTCATTTAACGTTCATAATTCTGTTTCACTTCAACAACCACAATTTAGCCAAATTCAGAGCTTGACTACATACCGCTTCAGAATGAATTCCGAATGATGGTTTGTCTAGCATGAAATCTAATTTTAAGACTATTGTTTATTAAACAATAAACAAATTAACATTTATATTTTCAAAATTATTAGTATTGTTACGTTGATTAGATTTAAATTTACTAGTGAACCAAATAAACTTTATTTTTTAATTAGCTGTTCCACCAAAAGAAGTTTGATTGTGTAGGGTTTCACAGCCAGAAAAATTTGGAAACCGCTCTTCTAGATCAGCGGTTCCCAAATGAACTCTAAAGGTTCCGTGGAAGAGTTAAGGGGTTCCGTGAATTAGTACTTTTTATAACCAGTGATTGGTTTTGAAACCTCCAACTGTATTAAGGTCTAACCTATAATACTTAATTTATTTAATCTTTCGGTGTCCTTCTTGAATTATTTCAAATAAAATGCTAATGAAATAAAAATGCATTTTTTAAAAGAAAATATAATATTTCTATTTTCTAATAACAATATAATAGACAAGTTAGGAAAAGAACAAGCATTTATAAAATATTTCATTACATTATTTCCTATCGTGCTTTTCAAATCAAAACAACAAAACTCTTTAATGGAGAATTATGTTTTCCTAATAACCATTTTTAACGTTCACAACAGTTCTTTTAAGTTTTCATTTCGAAGTAAACCATAATTCGGTTTATTTTATTCATATATTATGTTATTTTCAGGTTATGTATATGCATCTAAAGCAAATTCATAACTAGACTGGGCATAAAACTGTCGAATATAAAACCTAATTTAAGATTATTAATGATAAAACAATGCTCGCTTCATTCCTCTGATTAAATATTTTAAAAATAGTCTTTTATAGTTTATAACGTTTCCTGTTATCTTAATAAATATTATTTCCGAAGTCGGTGTTCCGCAGAAAGAAGCTTGGTTTTTTACGGTTCCTAGGTTATTAGCCGGGAAAAAATTGGGAACCACCGTCCTGGATTATCCAAGGTGGTCGTAATCTTTGATCAAAAAGTTAAGGACACTATGGGGCACGGGCGCGTGACGTCACGATCTTTCTTTACAATCAATTGGGTGGCGAGCACTCTAATGTAAGTCTATGGGATTTTGATGTCATTAAGCTAATTTTATATTTTCTTTAAATTTTTGAAGTATTAACGGTCTATTTTCGTGTACAATAGAGTTATAATAAACTGTATACTAAGTTTTGGCTAAATTGTGTCATTCTTTGTATGAAAAAAGTTTAAATTTTTGTGGGTGGTGAGTAAAAGTTCTGTTTCTCTTTACAGTTGTTGTTTATTATGATGTATACTATAAATAATAGTTAAATTTTTGTTTAAATCCTAACAAATTAGATTAACTGTGATGCCTTCTTCATAAATAGGTCAGAATAATTATGAAATTTTTTTTACAAAGTGATGAAATAGCTTTGTTTTATGATTTTTAACTTCTGGGTGGCAGAGCTGAAACTTAAATATTTTGCTGACATTCTTAGAAATTCACGTTATTATTTTAATCTTATATCTAGTAAAAATAGAATTAATTTATTTTTATATATGCCCCAAACTTCTTAAAATATTCTAGCGATGTTTTGATAATATTTGTGTAAAAAAAAATTAGTGTTCTCTGGGTGAGTGTGTCTTCTCCTTAAAAAAAAATGTTTGTTTTGCATCAAATTAGAAATAATTGTTGATGTTTTACTTTAGATATTAATTAAGTATAATGCTTGTATAATAGATTGGTCAAAATAATGATAAAAATTTGCTTCAGTGTGTGCAAATTACATTGTTTTTGTAATTAAATTTCTGGGTGGCAGAGCTTTGAATGAATGAATTTTCCTGATATTTTTATTAATGCACATTATTATTTAATTATTTCGTTTATTAACGGTAGAATTAATTAATTTTTTTAAATGTCCTAAATTTATTAAAATAATTTAGTTAGATTTTGATGATATTGGATTAAATAAGTCTTTTGTTCTGCGGGTGAGAGTGTGCTCTCTCCTTAGAGATGTTTGTTTTGATTCATATAAGAAGCACTTGTTGATTTTACGTAACAATTATTTATTAAGTATACATTAATATAATATATTAATTAAGTATAATGCCTGTATAATAAATAGGGCAGAATAGGGATAAAAAATTTGCTGCAGTGTGCTTAAATTGCTTTGTTTTTGTAAATAAACTTCTGGGTGGCAAAGCTTTGAATGAAAGGATTTCTCTTTTTCGTAATTATATATAGGTACACATTATTATTTAATTCTTTTATCTGTTAAGAACATAATTAACTTATTTTTATATAGGTTCTAAACTTCTTAAAGTATTTTGGTTGTCTTAATAATATTTGTGTAAAAGTTATTCTTTGTTAGTAAGTGTGTTATTTTTTGTCTCCTTAAAAGACAATGTTTATTATGCTTCATTTAAATAACGATTGAAATTTTGATAATAATGAAGTAGATATTTTGTATTGTGTTCTTTATAAATGGAGCAAAGTATATTATCAAAATTTTGTTGCATTGTGTTAAAGTAACTTTGTTTGTGTTAATAAATTGTTGCATGGCTGAGCTTCTAATGTGTTAATTATCTTAATATTCTTGTATGTACATACTATTATGCAATTCTTCAATACATTCATTAACAGATTAATTAAATTAAAATTTATATATATATATTCCAAGATTTAATTAGCTGTTTTAATCAGACTTAAAATAACTTTGTTTTTAATATTTTGGGTGGGTGAACATTCATTGCATATATTTGTTATTACCTGTATATAAATTTATCTTATATTAATTAAATTAAGTTTCATTTTAGGTTCTTTAGGTTAGACTTCCATAATGGTTCATCATTGTTCTGCTTTTGGCTGTTCAAATCGCTTCGTATGGGTTGTGGAATTGGTTTTTATCGATTTCCATCAGATAAAAAACGACTGATATCATGGATCAAAGCTGTTAGCCGTGAAAACTTGATGCCAGGAAAAGATGCTCGCATTTGTGGAGCACATTTTCAAACAGGTACTAAAAAAAATTTACTTCTTAGTTTTAGTATTAATACTTGTTTTTTAGTTGCACACGTTTCATAAAAAAATTACTGCTTATATCATAATAAAAATTCTATGCATCCTTTGTTCTCACATGAAATTGAAAAAAAAAAAAACAAAGTTTTTCATGCTAGATTTTGAGAAAATCAACTTGACAACTTTTTTCCTTCACCAGGCAACACTGTCAGTGCTGAAATAAAATTTCGTTAAATTAATAGAAAAATTTCTTTTCAGTTTGTGGCTTTTCAAACAAATAAAAATCACAATTTTAAATTTTTTTTCACGTATGCTGATTTTTCTATTGCATGTCGGTAAGTGAAAAAGTTGTATTTAAGTCTACATTATTTTAAAGATCATGTTTTAAACCGATCTGTGTCCAGGTTTGCTTACCACACATTATTTCTTAATTTACCTCTTGTTTTCTTTTAGCATATTCTTTAAAATATTTTTGCAAATGAAAATAACAATGCTTTTTCTCTTATTAGGTATGCCATCACGTGATGCAGATCATCCCGATTATGTGCCAAATGTGTTTTCGTTCAAGAAAGGAAGAAAAACTGCATCCGTAAAGTGCCATAAAAGAAGGAAAGCACTACAAATAAAACGTAGTGAGGTACTTAAAGAGGATGATGAAATTGAATTAGTGGAGCCAATAATTTGTAAGCATGATTCTGGTATGTCATTTTTGTAAAAAAAAAAAATTTAACACGACTTATGTTAAATTGATTTGTGTTTTTACTGTCATGTGAACTCAACTTATTGATTCGCATCTTTTTTTTTCCCCATCTTTTAAGTAGCATGTTATTTTATCTATATAATAGATCAAAAGTCTGTCCAGACATTTGGTGAAAGGTCAATTTTTGTAAAATTGTGAAAAAATTACCCATAATTTGTGAATATAAAATAAACGTTAAGTTACATTCTTTCATCCAGGGTCCTGCTGTTGTTAATCTTTGCAAATAGGGTCCTGTTATTGTAGAAAACTTTTTTAAAGGAGTTTTTAAATTGTAAAGACATACAAGATTATGCTCAACACTGTAAAATTATAATTTTAAAAAATAAACAGCAATTGCTGCTACTAAATTAGAGATGCAACATACAAATATTTAGTATTTATCCTACACTGCTGCAGCAGAATATTCATTTCAGACGTATAAAGAAAGAAGCGCCTGCCAAAGACAAAACTTAATTCCTTTGCATCTGTCTTTCTCTCCCCCCCCCTCCCTCTTCCTGCGAAGGGCTTATTTGATTAACAAAACAATAATGAAGAGAATTTGTGAAGGGTTCGATTAAAAGATAAATTATTTTGTTAAGGGTCCGTTATTATGAAACAATATTTTGTGAAGAGTTAGTTTTTATGGAACGATATTTTGTGAAGGGTCCGTTAACAGACCCAAATTTCTTCTAAACAGAACCCTGTAGATATGTTAATTTAAGGAAAGCTTTTAATTAAATTTGTTTTTTTTTATTGCAGTGCCAGAAATGACTGATCAAGAAAAAATGTTTGAATCATTAAACATTGAAATAATGAACTTGAGGGCTGAAAAAATGAAGCTGGAGGAAGATTTGAAAAAAATTTCAAATTTAAACATCCTAGAAGATGAAAGCAAATTGAATTTCTATACTGGCCTGCTTCTTGGAGTGATGGCTTCTGGTGTGCCAGACTCCATATAAACCATATCAAGAATTGAACAGCTGTTAATTGTTTTGATAAAATTAAAACTTAATTTATTTGCCACAGATACTGCTTATAGATTTGGGACATCCAGAAGGACCGTTGGAAGAATCTTTGACTTATGGTTAGAGCCACTTGCTGAGAAATTGAAATCTTTGATAAAGTTTCCCAGTAAGAAGGCTCTGAAACAAAATGTCCTCAAACCTTTAAAAACATCCAATTATAGAAACTGTAGTAAGATCAATGATCGTACTGAAGTGGCAATTGAGAAACCAAGCAATTTAAAATCGCAATCACAAACCTACAGTTTATATAAACATGGGCATACCATCAAATTTCTGGTAGCCACAACACCTTCTGGATGTATATCTTTTCTATCTAAGTGCTGGGGAGGCCGGACATCAGATAAAGAAATAACAATCAAATCCGGATTTTTAGATCACGTTCAGCCAGGAGATGTTGTTCTGGCTGATCGAGGTTTTATTGTAAATGATTATTTTATAAACAAAGGAGCAAATTTAATTGTGCCTGCCTTTAAAAAAGGTGTAAACCAAATTAGCAAGTTTGATATAATGCGATCTAAAAACATATCTAATGTCAGAATTCATGTAGAAAGAGTAATCAAACAAATTAAACGCTTTAATATTTTGAAGGGAGTAATTCCCATTTCTTTTTTAAAATACATAGATTTTGCCCTAATTATTTGTGGAGCATTATGTAATCTAAATAATTCAATTGTAGATACCATAGAGTAAGGCAATATTTTCCTTAATATTTTAATTTGTAAAATTGGTGCATGGTACTTTAAAAGATAGGTTCATTAAAATTTTTTATTTATATTATACAAGTTATTGAAACAATTTTTTTTATATTAATAGATCAATTTTCAAGTACTGCTGCACATTCTTATATTATTTAAAACTATATCTGGATATTACTTTAAAACTATAACAAAAAAAATTTTTTCTCCTATTTCTTTTAGGATAAAATTTTTTTCTCGGAAAGTTTATCTAAAATTAAAGCTGCATTTTTGTTCCTTAATTTTTTTACATCACCTAAAGTAATCTTATTTACTTTTTTTAAATTTTCATATCAAATATTTAGTATATAGTTGTAAGAAAGAATTGGAGATACATTTAATGACTTTTTTTTATTTAATCATCTTAACTGAAAAGTAAATGTTATGTACTTATATAACAAATAGATTTGCTCTTGGAATTTAAAAGCTACATTACATTGTGTCTCCAATTTTTATATGGGTGATGGTTGCATGGATATTTGCATGACAAAAAAGGACTAACAGAATTTTTTTTAATAGTTGAACTTGTGCTTATTATTTTTGATTTATTACGTTAATACTTTTGATTTTATGAAATGTTGACAAAAATAACTGTAATGCTAGAAAATTTAATTTTTTTTTAGTTTAAGTTTCTTATCCAATAATTCTTTAATAAATTTTTTTCAATATTAATTAAATCTTAAAAAAAACTGCATGTATGTGTATCAATTTACTAACATATTCAAAGTAATATTTTCTGTTATTTCAAATTTCTTTGATCAAGTTGCATGGTTACTTGTTTTGGTGCTTTTTATATCGTAAGACGAAATTGGAGCTTCATCGAAATTAATTTTGTGAAATTATAAATTTTCTTATTGATGCAATACTTTAATTTTAAACTTAATTTAGGTTCTTTAAATGTAGTATTGCATGTTTCAGTAATATTTAGATTATTTCAATAATGTTAGATTCATCTCCAATTTCCTATTACATTTTAATTTCATATTGGTGGTGGTGTTTTACTAACATTTGCATGCTAAAACATTTGTTTACTGGCTTTGGCCTGGATATTTGGAAAACAAAAATATTTGATTTACTTTATATTTAAATCAGAATACTTTTTATTTTATTTAACCCTTTGTATACAGACTTCCAGACTTCTTCCAGACTTCTTTATTTTGTTTCACCCTGTAAACTGCAAAATCAACAGAAGTCCATATAATCATGTCACAGTAGTCTTCTTCTGTTACTGCTAATTGCCCCTGAATTTGGAAATAATAGCTGTGGTTGGTCCTGATTTTGCCATCAGTATCTAGAATAAAAGAAGAATCATTAATATTAAATGCCGAAACATTTTTATGCTTGAAAGGGCACTTAATTTCCACTATCCCTTTTCCACAACAAGAACATAAAACATGGGCATCAGGTGAAGCTCCTAAATGTGGAAACTTGCTGTTGAGGCAGAGGCCACTCCTGCGATGCTGGAAATTCGTGTGGATACTTTTTGCCTTCTGCACGTACATTCTCAGTGCAACCTCTTCATTTTTGCGCCCCCATTCAATCGCCTGAGTGCGTAATTCAGAACTAAAAATCAAATTGAATATTTGATCAATTTATTAAAAACAAAAGTAAATGAATTTCAAAACAAGGAAAATAATTACCGAGGAAAGATGAACTTTTGAGCATAGGAACTAGTTAAAGTTCTTCGTTTGAACACCTCTCCAAATTTCGAGGCTGTAATGCGGCATTGGCGATGTTTGTGCCAGTGTTCACAGCTGCTTTGCTCTTTGGTCAGCAACTCAATCTCTTTACAACGACTCTTGCAGAAGTAGCCCTTCAAATAACTATCTTCATCTGGAACATTGTGGCTCATAATGTGTCTTATACATTCCACAAGAGTCATTGGGGCTTCTTCATTCTCTTCATCTGAATCAGTGTCCTCCGAGTCTGAAAATGAAGTAAAATAAACAGCATTTGGAGCTATCTTCTTCAGATTCTGGATATCACTAATAGTTAGAGGAGCCACTTGAATAGGTGAAGTTATCCCAGAGTTTGAGGAACTTCCCACATCAGACCATTTTGTTTTCTTCAAATTGATGCGTGAAATAGGAGCAAAGTTTACCTAAAAAAAATTTATAACAATAACTCTCTTTTTTAAAAGAACTACTGCATTTAATTTATGAAAAGTTTGACAAGACAAAAACAAGAAGAAACAACCTTTTTAGGATAAATATTGCATTTGACGCAAACATTACAAGCTAAAGAAATACATGAATAATAAAAGGATGAAAAATATCTTAGGACCTATCAAGATTTTGTGAAACCTGTATTTAACTTTAAAAAATTTGTAGAGATTTCATGCAATAAGAGTAAAAGTTTTATAAATAAAACTCTGTTATTCATTTCAAATATGTAATTCAATTTTAATATCAGCTAATCACTTCATACCTTTTTTGAAACCTTGCAATTTCACTGACAAGCAGTTTCTGTAGGAGCTTGTACATTCAATCCAAGGCGAACTGTTAGCTCAATTTTGAATAGTAAGGCAGCAACATGACTGCAAGTTTCTCCTAAACTGAAAGACATTTATGTTTAATTTTTTTAAGTGAAACATTTTTAAATATAGAACATTAAGATATTTCTAGCCAGAAAATGAAATAATTATGTTGAGTTAGTTCATTCTATAGAAATTTGCTCAACAAAGCAAAAAAGAAATTTTTTTTTCATAGTATTAATTTAAAAATGTTAGTTTTGTCTTTTAATTTTTTCCTGAAAAAGAGTTGGAAGTTTCAAAAGTGTTCTTGTATTACTTACTACAAAACAAGATTAATTAATAAAGAAGAAAAAAAGAATAGTACAGTAATCATGGAGTAATAAGGGCAAAATCATAAGAAGTCAAAGACTTAAATTACCCAGCAACACATGTGCAATGGCCACATTGAATTCTGCCATCAGTATGAGCCAAGACCCATGGCTTGTAGTTAGCATCACGAACTCGGAATGAGGGCTGAACTTCTCCAAAGACAATAATATAATCTTTCAAGCCCTTAGGCGTAAAAAACATGATATTACATACTTTACCTAGAAAAATAATCAGACCGTTATTTTTTTTTTTAAAGAACATTGATTTATAAATTGCCATTCAGTTGTTACAAAAACTGAAAGATTAATTGTTGCAGAAATGGGATAATGATGCCTTATATTTCAAATGCAGATCAATTTATGCCAAATAGATCCTTAAACAGTTTTTATATTCAAATTGTGTTGAGCTATGACATTTCTATTGCACAGCATAATTATTTAGTAATTTTCAAGCACACATTTAAATTTTTAAAAAATACAAAAATAAATCAATACCCTATTGTAAGGTTTCAAATTACTAAAATGAAACAGCCATAGGATTGTCTGTGTATAATTTTATACTTGGCCAGATAGTAGTTTGCATTAATTTTATTGCATACAACAATATTTAAAATACTTCATATACCACAGAAGAATTTTAAAATAATTAGAAAATGTTAATGGATGATGCACACCTGCCAATGGATAAAAAATTGAAAAAGAAAAAAAAAGACTAATTAATAACATGACTTATCTTTATTTACTCATACTTATTACATAGCAAAGAAGATTACTAAGACAAACCTATCCTTTGAAAAAGATAAGTAACATTCAAAATAAAATCAAAATATAATTTATAAATATTTCATAATGAAAGCCTGTTATTCTAAGTTTACAAGACCACATCATATTTTGATTTAAAATAAAGCTTAAGTAAAAGCCTGTTTGGAACTTACCTGAAGTTACATATTCATATGCTGACAAAGATTTATAATTCTTCAAACAGTCAAAATTATAGCCTCCTGGGTTTGATGTGAGATAGTTGAAGATATCTGGATATGTAATTTGAGGGCAGTACTTAAAATTCTTAAAGCATTCAGTTTCGTTGACAGAGTAAGGGTCCTGAATAGAAATATTTACATTATTATTTTGTATTGTTAATTTGTCAAAATATCTTACCTTCGCCTCAACACTTAAATCTAACACATATTTGGAACACGATACAACTTTACTACAATAATCATGGTCTGAAAAATCCATCTTTACCTGAAATTACAGTTTACATCCAATTAAAAATTTAACACAAAATAGAAAGTCAGTTACAATGTAATTTTTTAGAATTAGTAGAATCATATTTATATTAAATGAGGTGCAAACACACTTAAACGTTAACATGTGTAAACACATTCATAATTTGAATAAAATTAGTGATTTAAAATGGATATTTATTTTGATAAACACACAAGCTATGTTTTAAATGTTATGTCCACGTGTGCACATGATCCAAGGTGAATCACCAAATTAGAGAATTAAAATGGTATTAATAAATCATAATTCAAAGTTTATAAGACGGGTTTTAAAAACAATATAAGAACTATTCAAAATAAAAAATACTATTAAGAAGAAATCCAACATGAATTCGAAAACGAGACTGGCTATGATATACTAAATAATGTGTATAGGATTTTTCAGTCCCAAAATGAAAATTAACTCATAAAAAACAATAAAACTTTAATCAAATTATTTATTTTAATATAAATATTATATACATTAAATAGAAAACAAGTTGTGAGATAACATTACAAAGTACGTAAGATACGTAAACAGAGTGGTCAAAAATAAATCATTAAATTACACCTCTTAAAATAATTTTTTTTATCAAAACTACTTTGATTTTACAAGTTTATCAAACTATCTTTCAGAAAATATAAGCAACATTCAAAATAAAATCAAAATATTAGTTATAAATACTTTATTTTCAAACTTCGTAATGTTAATCCTATGGAAACCTTGCCACCCAGGCCTCAGTAATTGATTGTTTGTTTACAATCAATGCCCGTGCCCCATAGTGCGGCTTTCAGGTGAATTCCTCCAGACACCCGCCTCGCGTCGTGGCGGTTACTATGGTTACGAGGAAAGGTCACTTCGAATAGGGATGTGGAGTGAATAGTTTTGCCTTAATCTTAGCGTAGGTCGTCGTGAGTAAACCAATCGACACCTTTTTTTCTCCATTTTACCCCCATTAGAAATGTGCTCTAGCTTATTACCATAGCAGCAGACAATCCCAGACTTTTAGTCTGGAGGAATTCTCAAAGCCGCACCTGCACTATACTTCACATTGATAATCAAAAGTATACATTGTGTCCTCATGCGGAAGTCAGCATGAACTTTGGTATGCATTCATTAAGTTCAAAGGATTCATTCATTATCTTTGTAAATTTCATTTCAAACAGCACAGTAAATTTATCAGACATACTTTTCTTGCTTGAAAATACATGTGATCTTAGTTGTTATCTTCACATAAGTTTTTGATCAAAATTAGCTCCCCTACCAGCAGGGACCGATTAAGACAAATTCAGGCCCAAGGCCCACCAAATTTTCTGGGTCCCTTACAAGATATTTTGAAATTAAATTACTGAGGAGTAGTCCTAATAATAAAAAAGAATCTATTGAGCTGCATGATTCAAGAAAAGAAATTTTGAAAGCAGACAATTGAAGATTATTCTTCTACGATAAAGTTTGCGTATCTATAAATTAAAGTAAAATATAAAACAACAAAACAATGTTGTATGAAAATAAAAATAGTTTGGTGACCACAAACAATTGAAATCAGTGATTTTTGCTAAAAGTCACTGATTAGCTGGATTATTTTTTATTAATACTTAAACCAACTTTCAAGCCCAACAACTAGCCCAACTTTCATTAGACTTTTTACTAATTTTTGAGGCCCCTCAAAAATTGTGGGTTCTTGGCCCATGCCTATTAGGCCTAGGCTATAATCAGGCCCTGCCTACCAGTGTATTGCTTTTGATACATTTTTCGCATATAAAGTATTATTTCAAAGACTACTATTGCGGTTTATATTAGCTTAAATAAAAACAAAAGTATGTTGCGTTATTATCAATTTTCTGTTTGTTTTCTAACTCGTATTAAAATAAAGTATTACCACGATAAATTATTTGATTAATTTAAATCTGTTAGTAAATTTTGACAGAATAAAGAGCTCCCGTTATAACGTAAGTTTTCGCCCGGACAGCAGGGATCGCTATATCGAACGAAGACTATACCTTCTCTCTGCACTTGATTCTAATACTTTCTACTCAAAAAAACTGCTAAATTCTGATTAAAAAACTTTAAAATACTATAGGGCTAAGCCCCCTGTTAGCTACCGCTCACCAGCCTCCATGGTTGCTTCGCAATAAGTGTTGATTTTTTTAACATAAAACAGTTTTTTCTGCGAGGCTGAAATTATTCACTTAAAATATAATATGTTTTACGTATTGTATTTTCACTTAAAATATAATGCATATTATGTACTAAAAAAAATTCCGTTTGCTTACACTCCTGCCCCCACTTACCACGTCCAACATTCATTTCTTTAAAATTCATTTCTTTCAACATTCATTTCTTTATTTTTAAGCAATTTTGATTGTTAAATAATATGACAGATATCATATTATGTTATTAAGATCTATTATTGAGTAAAATAATTCTGCATAGTAAATGTAATTTTTTTTTTCGAAAAATAACTTTAAAATTAAAGGTATATTGTTTTAACAAATTTGGTGATTTTACAACAGTAATTTAATATTTTTGCTTTGCAAACATTCAGAAGCTGATCGTTAAGTTCTAATTAACTAAACAAAACCCTTTAACTGTAATTTATAATAGTATATTAATGTAATTTACACCAAAAAAATAATAATTGTAAAACGGTTAATGATATACAATGATTCAAATAAGTTTATCTTACAATGTGGAGCAAAATGGTAATATCGAAGAATTACGTTATAATAATTAAATCTCAGAAATCAGTAATCAACATAACTATTTCATTTCTTTATTACTTAGAGTTATGATTTAATTTAATATATTATACTAAATACACAAAACAAATTAATAAAAATGAAATATCTATATATATATTTCTCTTACACGGCGACAAAAAAAGGCCTCATTGCAACTCCCCGAATGGCAACGCTAGAAAATCGACCAATGATTGCCGCTAAAAATGTCACATGCCAAATTTAGCTGAGATGGCTCAACTTATAGCGCTTTTAAAAACGGAAACTGAAATAACCAGAGAGAGAGCATAAGCTAGGCAGAAGTGAGTAGTCTTTGTCGATAGATCTCTATTTTAGTATTTTGTTGAAAGCTTTTTTTCACGAATTTATATATTACGAATTTATTTGACGATTTTTGATTTATATCACGAATTTATTTGTTTATGCAGGTTTTTCCATTGCAATTCACTTATATTTAATATTTATTTTTAGTTAGTTATTTTTAATAGACTTATTTATAGCCAAAATTTTAAACTTTTTAAGGAGATATTAGTTTTAGAAATTTTATCTTAAGATTTTATACTATAGCACATTTCTAATAGGTTTAGCGAATTACATGTCATTTATTTGAATTCAAATTTATTTTAATGACTTAGTATTTACTAAAAAGATGTATTTTTTTTTTTAAAAAAGTTGTTATATGGATTTGACTGATTGTTTTGAATTCTTAGAATTTTGTGCATTTGCAATATACCTAAGTTATCAGCGAGCGAAGCGAGCTTGGTTTGCGAAGCAAACCATATAAGATTGCGTAGCAATTTTCAAGGGTTGGGGAGCGTTAGCGAGCAGGGGTCTCAGCCCACTAGTCATTAATACTGCTAATAATATAAGAACTTTTAGAAAACATAATAAAAAGTACATTCCCGTTAGTTAGGGGCAGATAATTTCAAGCATTTTCTTTACATTTACATTTATTTATTTATCTCGTTTTGTGTTCAAAAAATAAGTAAAATTTACTTGCTTTCCCTTTGTCCGACTGTAAAGCAAGTAACCGTGGGAGGTAGAAACGGGAAAATTCAAGTAACGGGCAAACCATGTGAGGTTTTTCTGGATTTACTTGCCATGTAACGCAAATGCGGGTTAATTTCATAAAAAAAGTCATCCACAAAAGTTAGCTTGTCCCAATGGTTGTTTATGAGATCCCTTGTCTTCTGGGTTAAGTTCAAAATTACGGAGCTGAAAATTGATAGTCGTTAACTCAGAATTAGGTCAGCTGTTCAACGCCAGCTATAAAATGAAATATAAAAAAGTAATAAAATTCATTCACTAAAGGAAAAGTGCTCAATTAAAAATTTAATGCAGGAAAATTATAAATATTAATCAACTTATTATTTCATTTCTCTAACTTAATAACAAAAATGGTACATTATTTAAATTTTTGGCTATGTCTCGAGCTTTATTTGA